AATAAATAAAATGATATTTCTATCTTTTGCAGTTCACTTTTAGTGTCACAGATCAATAAAAACATACTTGACCCTATCTAACTATCACTAATGAGGTGAATACAGTGTTGTCTCAAACAAGTATTACTCTACATAGATTCTAAAGTAGAGAAAAATTCTACATATAGAAAAATAAAATCAGCCATGTGACAGGCTGCAACCAAGAATTTAATACTAGTTTTGATATAGGTAATTTTGTTTGCCTTTCAACTCTGTAATGGTCTTAAAAGTCAATGTAATTGTACAATTTATAGTATATTCATTTCTTTTTCAGAATGACAAACTGCTACTTTTTTTTTTTTTTTTATGTCATACAAGAGTACTTGTCCATAAAAATAAGATGCTGACATTTTGTATTTCATAACATGCTTTCATCCAAAATCTCTAAAAAGAAAAAAAGGACAGGAAATATGAGTGCCAGCACCTGAAGGGTAAATAGGATAAAATAACTGAGAAAAGACCTTAACTTTAAAGGGAAATTCCTATAAATTACACACACACACACACTTTCAAAACAAAAAAGAAAACAACAAGTAAAAAGGAAGGAATTTTTTTTCCCCTTAGTTCTCAGGGAAAAGGAGAGGTTTTGGTTGTTATCATCAAATTTCATGAGTCCTGCAGTGATTGTATTAACCCAGCTATCGAATTAGTAGGCTTAGAAAGGCCTATTCTATGTCTTAGTGGCGATATAACTTTGTAGTGTAGGTGCACTCAGTTTATTCTCTTGAATAAAAAATGTAATATCTACTGTTTAACTCTGTTGAATTCAGATTTTACACTGGTCAAAGCAGAGTAAGAAGTCTTGCCTTAAATCTTCTTCAAATGGGTTAACTTTATGTGGATTTTTTAAGTAACACTAAAACCCTTACACTTTTCAACGTGCTTGGAAATTGCAATTTAAAATAAGTCTATTCAATTACCATATGGTGGAAGGAAAGAGGTGTTGGCATTTCGCTATAAGATGGGAGTGGTTGCAATGCTTTTTAAAGATGACTTGTGGCCTCTAGTTAGATACTGGAGCTCTTCATAAAGTTAAATAAATCAATAAAATGGGAAATCTTTTTAAAAGGCTGTTCTAAATAGTTTTCTCAAATAATTTCATAACCTTTCCAGGACAGAGAAAATACTTCTTATTTTACATGATTTAGTCAGTAGAATATACTTTATGACATCAGGCTATGCAATATAAATAACACTCAAAGAAAAAATTTGAATTAGAGTATAAATTGTGAAAACCTATAGTTGTGGTAACTTATGGACAGCATTACTCTCCTAGTTTGAGGTAAAACAGAACCAATTTTGTTCAGTAACTTTGCTTCTTAGCTGGGCCTCTTCTAACTGAAATTAAGACCATATTGTGCAGACAACGTTCACTCTCTCAGAGTGATAAGACCTATGTTTATAGCTGACGCCCAGGCATGGTATGCAGAGAGGCTCCTGCTTATACTTATTGCTATAACACCCAAGGCCAACCAACTTTGTTATTTGCCCTGTTGGAGGGTCAGAAGCGGAAAAGCATAGTGGGGTCCCACCTGCGGGGAGGAGCAGACAGGACAGGTGACCCAAAACCGACCAACAGGGTATTCCATCCCATCTGCCTCATGCTCAGTATAAAAGCTGAGGGATCAAAGGGTCAGCTCTTTTTCTTCAATGGCCGACGTCTGAGGAGGACTCTGTCTGTTCATCTGCCTTTGACCGTGACCCTGAATGCAGATCCAGAATCCACTTCCCGTCCATCACTGAGTCCAGCCTGGGACTTCCCCAGTGCCAGCCAGTGTTGTGATTGTCATCTTGGTAGCTTGATACAGTTTTGTGTATATTTCATTATTTCTTTTTCATAGAATCATAGAATGGTTTAGGTTGGAAAGGACCTTGAAGATCATCGAGTTCCAACCCCCCTGCCATAGACAGGGACACCTCCCACTAGACCAGGTTGCCCAAGGCCACATCCAGTCTGGCCTTGAACACCTCCAGGGATGGGGCCTCAACAACCTCTCTGGGCAATCTGTTCCAGTGCCTTACCACCCTTAAAGTGAAAAACTTCTTCCTAATGTTTAATCTAAACCTGCCCTCTTCCAGTTTAAAGCCATTCCCCCCATCCTATCAGTACATGCCCTAGTAAGATGTCCTTCCCCAGCTCTCCTGTAGGCCCCCCTTAGGTACTGGTACTTTTTATTTTGTTACTAATATTTCATTGAAGTAGTTTAGTTCCTTCTAAACTCATACATCTCTTTTTCCCTCCTCTGCCTCTCTCTTTGAAGAGGGGTAGAGGGGAGCATCTGTCAGTCCCATCTGGGGTCCCCCAGATCCCCAGTAGCCTAAACAGCTACCATGACAATTAAGTAGTATGTGTATTATGCAGACCGTATGTATATACTTTAGTAACATCTGTCCTCAAACATAAGGGATTTCCACCTTTCTTTCTTACTGCAATACTACGATCAAAAGATAAGCATATATAATATAATAACAAATTCACTCAATTATTTTAGAACTGTGCAACAGAAAATATACATATCCAAGAGTTTTTATGGCATTAAAGTAAAGTATATTTCTTTCCACAGAAAACATATCAAAAACCCCCACTAACATAGTCTCATAACAGAGGGGCTTCTGGGTTTTTTACAGATCTAGAGGGTGGAAAAGCAAGGGAACCGTGCTGTTTACTCTAAACCACATTTAAATCGCCTTTGAGTGTTATGTGCTAAAATCAGCATTTTTGACATCTTAATCCAGATGCATGAATTATCTTCCCACAAACAACAAGGAGATTAATAAAAAACTGTTCTGTCAGCACCTTGCTGGTTTAATACCTGCTTAACTCCTGCAGCATATCTCGCTGTCATTAAACTGCATACACGTGGCTCATTTTGTTGTTTGTTTTTTTTTTTTTAATTTTTTATTGAAAATCTTACATGTATGACTAAAAGTCATGGGCGATATCTTTCAGTTCCATTACAAAATCTGTCATATTTATATACATAGCTATATATATATATTTAATACAACTAGAAGCAAATCTACGGAATTATGAAACAGTGATTGTCTACCAAAATGTAACTCAAATTAAAAATGTTGCAGACGATTAAAATTATTTTGTTTTCTCTGATGGAGCTGAAGGCCACTTTCACATAGTTAATTGATAATGCTGGGCTGCAAAAATTACAAAGCCTTAATGATATTTTCCCATCTTCCATCCTGGTGTCACCCATAAATTAGGATTTTAGTACAAGGATCTTTCTTTCAGAAAGAAGTACTTTTAGAGTGAGCATCATCCTCTATGGAGTACCTTCTATCCACAAACACAGTCCTGTAGACAATTCTGTAATGCCTCAGTAATTGCAGGCAAGTCAAGTAATTTCAAGTTAGGTGCAAGCAAAAAAGTTTGCAGGAGCAGAGTCTAACTTAGGAACTCGTCTACAGATAATCTAAAACAAAACAATCTGAAATAATACTTAAAACCACTATTTTACTTGAATATATGCCTTATTATCTATTAATAAATCATGAAATATGAAGTATAAATATTGTCAGAATCATAAAAAAGTTGCCTTATTCTAAGAAATCCTACTTCAAAATTGTACAGTATTTTAACCAACAGCAGTTATCCTTCTGTTTTGGCACTCCTGAACCAGTGTAGAAATTATGTGTAGTGATGTTAACACCTTTGGGGAAAAATACTCATGTGCAGCAGGATCTAAAGATGATTTCTGGAGTTAATGGCATTACATTGCTTAACATAAGAAAGAAATTGAAGAGAGTCTTTCACTGTGATTCATCAGCAGCAAAAGAAAAGGGGAAGGAGAAAAGCAAAGTGTTTACAGTCTTTGAAGCATATAACATTTTTAACCTTGAAAATTAAATCTTGCATTAAAGACACTCCCAACTACCTCTGTAGTCTTCTTTCCAAAAGTTCAATGTACAAATATTTTATTTAAATGTCTCCGACTTTGTAATGGCTCAGAAGAACAACTGCATGTCCTTGTAGAAGCTCTCCTTTCTGAGAGACGAATGGTGGGCGAGATTGCTTTACTGTAATTTCTCCATTTACATGCTTCATTTCCTACATTTATCTGAGACTGAAGAAAAATCAGCATGTTCTGACAAGTCTAATACCACGAGGCAGTAAAATGGACCTGAATTTAGTGGAGGTGGGAGCTCCAAAATAAATATAACACTTTATGACAACTAATAATAAAAAAGGATAAATTCTCCTGTACAAATCAGAAGAGATAATAAAAAATAGCAAATAGATAGCAACATCTTTTCTATACCTACATGGGCATCACAAAACTTTTCAACTATAAGAATACCCCTCCGTATTTCTCATTTTATGTTGTTTGTAAACTGCTTCAGTAAGTTGATGACAAACATTGTGGAAGTTCCTTGTACGAACAGTAATTTTTCACAAAACTACCCAGAAAATTACAGAAATTTCTAATTAAATAGCTCTGAGAACAAATAAAGACAAGCAAACAAAAAGATCTGCTGAGCTTTTGGTTTTTTTTTCATGTCTGTCTTTCTGCTTTTGGCCTAGCAATCTGCATGCAACACTGTAAAGAAAATTTGTTAAAAAAACTTGCATCTGTAAATACTACATATTGTAATGTTGTATTGAATGATATATTATATCTGTAAATTTGTTTCTTCTTACACTTATCTCATACCAGAGACTCTGTGTTCTCAATATAGCAATACTGCAAAGGCATCTACAGAGTATCATTGGCTCATTGAGGTCACAGTGCATAACATACTCTTGAAAGTGAGTTGCCTCTGCAGGTATCTGAGGGTTGCTATCTATTTGAACGTGGCTGAGCATTTCATTTTATCAAAAATGCCACCAAATGCTCATATTCTGTGTGTTCAGTGCAGTCCCTAGGACAAGTCTAATGAAGATATGTTCCAGCAAGGCAAAAAAACCTAAAAGGTTAAAAATGGAGAAATATTTACAACTTTCTTCAGTCTGTAAGGTTGAGTTTTCTGTTTTAGTATTCTTCAGTGCATTTTCAGAGAAAGGTTCCAAGGCTATGAGTATAAGCAGTCTGGTCCAGTCCCATACATATCCGCAAGCCTTTTAAAGCGAGGGCCCCAGTCACTGAGGTAATCATAGTTCTGGTCAGAGTTTGAGCTGATCGAATCTAAAGAACTGAGTGACTCTGCCACCGAGCCATTCCCCTCAAATGCGTATGTCTGCAGGGAGTCATAGGGTGGTGCACAGGGGTCCACGTCAGCTTCTTTTAGTCTTTCCCAGATAAATTCCCTAAAAATTACGTTATCTGGGATGCTTTTAAAAGTTGGTCTGCTCAGGAACTGAATCTCAGGTGTCACATCCCTTCTGGTCTTGGTGTCTCGGATAATGTTGAGGTTTCTCAAGGCAGCCATGTCAAAAGCCTCGGTGTCTTCTTCTCCACCACCCTCATCATCATACCTGACAATGTTCTCTCTGATATCTCTCTCTTCATCAAAAATGAGGGGCTCTTTTTTCCTTCGCCTCATAGTGACAATCAGCAAGACGAGAACTGGAACACAGAAAGACTAGAGTTTTAGCAATGCTGAAGTTTCCTCATATTTCTTCTAATGGTGGAAGTACTTATTAATTTATATGGCGAAGACCCAAGGACACAGCAGGCAATTTATGCAGTTAGATTTGAAACCTAGCAACTTCTGAAACAGCTTTTAAACCATAAGCTTTTTAGATGTTAGGGAATCTATTTCCAAAACCATTCTGGATTAACGTCTTCATCTCTAATTCTTTCTCTTACGCTGTCCACTAACCATAAATTTTAAGTCTGGTTTAGTCTGACTATTACAAACTCACAGCCATGAGATAAAAAAGGGCATTTTCCTGAACTCTTAATTGTCCAAGCGATAAGAGCACATTCATAACGTAACTGAATAGAATTTAACAACCATGGTTTGGGAAGTGACTGAATTAAAGTATATGGCCAAACTCTGCTGGAAAAGAATAAAAAACAAAAAATCGTAGATTGAAGAACACTGAATTGTTAAGCAATGTGTAAAATTAGGCTGTCTTAGTTCATGCATAAAAAATATCTAAGACCTCACTTTCCTATAAAGTGCAAAGTACTGTACTTCAGGTTTATGAATTACATCTAACATGAACTGCTAGGGCTGGAGTTTATTGGATTAGTCAGTTCTACAAATGTAATTATTTTTTTAATTGTAATCCTTAAAGTTTCTTTCAGCTTGAAAGCTAATACTAAACTGTAGCGACAGCCAAAAAAAACCTAGAGGAATTAACTCAAGGCTCGTCTTGTTCAAATACAGTTTTGGTAGAGAAACATCATTGCTAACACACAAAAATATGGAACTAGTATTATGAATACTGAACCCATCTGTGGGACATGATGGAGTGTGAATCATCCTCCCAGAAAAAGATTAATACTGTATTGTAGCATCTGGATAACATTTGCTGAGTTAATGATACTCCTAGAAAATAGCAGGCATCGCTATGACTGTAAAAATAACAGTACGTTGAAAAGTAAGTGTCATTCCACATTCAATTAATGTCTTCTGATTTTATGTTTATTTTTAATCTTAAGATTATGTGACATGCATTCATATGTCCAAGGTTTACTATCTTTACTTACAGTGCTTTGATATGCCAACTAAATGTTGTATAAACATCTGGAAAATCAAAAGCCCATATAGATAAAATTAAGCTTAGGCCTCCCTATGTGGTCTCAAAAGTGACCTCCATAAATTTTATAATGTAGGACTGAAATCTTGAAAGCCCTCCCTTTCATGGAGGAATTTTTAAAATCAGTATCAATGTAGTCATCATGAGGCATGATGTAATATTAGGATCACATGGTTAGAATAAACCAGTCAGAAACTGTACAGGCAGAAAACTGTATCATACGTCTACAGATGTTATGGTACTCATTTGTAATTGGCAAAAGCATAAGAGAACTTTAAAGGTGTTTAAAGCTGTCTGCAATTCTTTTTATTTTCCTTTGGAGCTATGTATGTCTAAAGTTAAAATTGGAACAAGTTTAACTTTTTTCTAAACTTTCTCACAAATATATTAGGCAATATTTTTTCCCCTTTTTTCAGTAGCTGCAAGGCACACATTTAATCATCCATCTACTAACAGATGCTTTGTGACTCTGTATTACCGCAACATCAGCACCACACTTTCACTTTTTTGCCCCTGGCACCTCCCTCGTTCATGCTTTATGTATTGAATTCAGAAGTCACTAGTTTGGGGCATTTTTCTGTGAACAATATTTACATAAGCACTTTGACAATATAGGATTTTGACCTTTAAAGTGGCTTTTGTGAAATTTCAAAACATTCTGATATTTGTATAATACAAATTGAGCTGTAAATTCTACAGCAGAGAACATAAAGTTGTCATCATAGAGACAACAATTGCACTTCACTCTAAATGTTTTCCCTTATTATGAAAGATATTTAAAGTGAAAGACAAATTAGCTTGCTGACAGTACAAATATACATTTAAGCCAAGATTGCTATTGACATAACTTTTTAATTATTAACATTTACGGCTACAATTTTTATTGCCACATAAATAAGCAGCTAATCATCTCCTTTACTCAAGTGTAAATGCATTTTCACACCACTGTCCCTCTTAACATACCTCATTTTGAAAGTTAAATACCTGCTAATAAGTGAAAAATATAAAATTTAGTAGGCAGGTCCGCCTAAAGGTACAATAAAAATCAAGATAAAATGAATGTATTGTATAGTATTCCTTTTATATCTCACACTTTCTTGAAGCAAAGAAAAACATGTAATCTTTCTAAAGTTTAAATATTTTATCATTTAGATGGCTTTATGAGATTATTAATTTCTAGACTTTCAAAAACCTATGAGCAATAAAGTTTAACCTCTAAATTAACAAAGCTGTAGCTGTATTTCTAGAACTGCAGACATGAATACAAGCCCAAAACAAATTTCACTGACATCTAAATCAAGTAAAAATGGTTTTAAAGCCTACCCATTTCTCATTAAGTTCTGGTGGATTTTTTTTCCCTGCATTTATCACTAAGCAGAGATTAAGTCAGTAATTAGTGACTGGCTGAACATCTAGAAAACCTAATTTTATGCTTTTTAGAGAAGTAGTAATGGAATGGAAAAGCTTTAGGGCCATATGTATTGGACATTGAGGCCACAAGTTTGGCTCCATACTGGTAGACTGAACTCATGCTGAAGAGATAAAATAGCAATACTGACTTCATATGCGATTTAACAAATAAATAAACCAATCAATATTAGAAGTAACTTATTATAAAGACTAGATAATCAGAACTAATAAAGATAGATCAAAACTAACCTTTTTGTTCTGATTTACCTGAATTGTTAGAAACGTTGATTTTGTTTAACAGGTACAATAGCCAAGAGACTATGTAATTTGTGTTTATATTAGCTGTGGTAACACTTAGTTATATCCTTCTGTCAGTATAGATGTAAAGATAATATCAGAAGTTTCAGTTCACCTAAATCAGTCTTTAAAAAAATGCCCTTGAATACAAGAGCAGATTTTTGCTTTGCCATTATGCAGTGTGCTTTATGGAATTATTATGAAATTTCCATTTTTGTATAAGCTGGTAAAAAGTCGGGTTTATGTCACCTGAGCATATATCTGTTTTAGTATTAATCTTCCCTTTTGTACTGAAGGCAACTGCAACATAATTGGAAGGAAGCCATAAAAGCCGTGAGACGACCTGAGGGAGAAGACTACATGCAGGGCTTTACAGTAAGGGACAGAACTAAATCGCAAGCATTATCATGCAGTGTATACGCTATACCCCTAAGCCTGGCATTTACTATAGCAATAAGCCGCATCAGCTGCAAGCAAATCTGCACATTGGTTTATGCCTTAGGTGTGTCATGATTCGTAAAGCTGAAGATTTGAGATCCTCAGCCATCTAAGCAGCACACTAATAACCTATTTAGTTATACCTTGCAGTTGCCAGTACAGTCAGATGAGATTTGGGGATTACCGAGGCCAAGACTCAGGAAACCTGCATTTAATTCCCAGTTAACAAGCTTCATATATGTGTTGTTTAATCCATTTGGACTGATATTTGCAAGGGATTGTGACCTTCAAATGCCCACACTAAGTGACCCTAAAAGGCTCTATAACTTTCAGAAAACAGCTTCTGCATTGAGTGCTCAACCACCTTTTAAATTACTTAATTTGGATACCACCAAATTAAAACAGCTATAAATGTATCACTCTTAAAACTGAAAGACCAAAACTCATGCATACTACATAGTCACACTCTGTACACATTTTACCTATTTAGAGAATGAGATCCTTATTCCTAGGACTGTTTCTTTTTTTTTTTTTTTTTTTTCCCAAATCACACAATTATGTGTGCTGATTTAATTGGGCTCTTGCAGGTATTGTGATAATAAATTCCTTGTCTTTCAGCTGAAAAAAATAATAATTTAAATCTGTGCTTTGAAGTTTAATCAATGTATTATTAACTTGTAAACTCTAGTACCACACTAATAGGAAGCTTTCTTTAGTGATTCAAAGAAAATAGGTAGGACTAATGGATTGTACTAAGAAGTATGGAAGACAAAAATAATGAAAAATCATTATGTCAATCTAGATTTCCATTGTTTCAATACAAAGACAAGCTTTAACCTCTCAAATATGATTGGGTTATCTACAGGTGAACATTCTTTTTTTGTGTGATTTTATGTACAAATTTTACACTAAACACTTGTCACAAAAACAATTATTGTGTCTGGAAGATGCTAACTGAAAAACAAATTACCTTGAATTAAATTACCATATAATTTTCAGGGGAGTTAAAAATTTTCTACTCATTTCTCTAAAAATTATCTACAGTCTAAAATGAATACAAACTAGCTTTTCATATGCTCTTTTTGTGAAATAAATTGCAAGCACTTTTTTTTTTTATTTTTTTTCTTTAAAACAGCCTCACTGCAGATTGAAAAATTATAAAGCTGTTTTTGAGTAATTAACAAAGTGGTGGAACTTTCTTATGGAATAAAATTTAGAATGTAATCTCCATCAGTCAATATGAGGAGGGGAAAAGATTTTTGTAAAATGTTTTTAACTTAAAAATCATTTTACTTTGAAAAAATAGTCTACAGCATGTTATATACAGTTATAATGAATTAGTATGATTTGGTAACATTCTTCCTTCTTAGTGTCAGTGAAAACATTGTGCTTATCTAAAACTGATTGGTTGCTTAAGTGAAAACGGTAATCCTAAGAAATCCCACTGAGACAATCTGAGCCTTGGTCAAGATAAATAGTTATTTATTAGACATAGGGAGGTATGGAGCAAGAACAAATATCAAGGTACATCATATTAACTTTAAGATGATAAGAGCTCATTGAGAATTCAAGATACTAGTGCCAGAATGCACATATCCATGACATTTATGCAAATCTCATGCCTCCTCCACTTTACAGCTGGCACTCACATTGAGATGATATTGACAAATGTGACTGGATTTGCACTGCAAGTTAATCTTGGGTCAGAAAAAAATTTTGCTCCAGTAGCCTGTCTCCTCTTTTCACTGACAAACTCTTACACAAAAAGGTGCATCTCTTGGTCCCAGCCCTGGAACAGCTTGCCAACAGCTGGAGCTTATTTTTCATGCTGTGCTAGTGGATCTTTAGGATTTTTTTCTCAGGAATAGATGTGAAAAGAAAAAAGAGAAAGTAAATTCCTAGCAGTACTACTATTCAGCTGGTCCCAGAAAACGTCTTCTAGCAATAAATGAGAGAATAAGAAAGGCTCTGGGACCAGACAAGCAACACTTGACCAGGGCAGCAGTGATGCTTTGGTACCTCTTCCTTGTGAAGACTGGCACCAGGCTGGGAACAAAACAGCAGCAGGATACAGTAGCAAAACGCAGGACTCCAAACCAGGGTTAGCATTCAAACGCAGCCTAAACTGCCTGAAGCTTTGAACTGTACCCAAAAGGAACAGTTTAGATTGGAAGTGATGACAGCACATAAAAATATTTATTCGAATGAACAGTGGTGATGCATTCAGACAGCTGAATTTCGAAGAACAATTCTTTGGCTAATAAAATCAGTGGTAAGATGGTCATAAGCCAGATTCCTCTTCAGTGCACAGGCCATTATTCAAACACCATGTTCAAGACCTTAACCTCAATTCTTTAGCAATTCTTTAGTAAAAGGTTTGGCGCACTAAAAATGACCAGAATAAAAACTCAGGCTTCTTGATTTACTGGTTGTATTTGAATCCTGGTGTAGTGACAATAATAAGCAAGTTATTGCCTGGTAACATGCTGTGTCTCCACTCCTTGCCCTTCTTTAAGACATGTGGCTTCTATTTAAAAAAAGCTTATACCCAGGTCAGGCTACAGTAGCTTTTTATGTAACCTTCAGAAACGTCCTTTTTATGTTTAACAGAAATGGTGACATTTCAATTTGGGATTAAGTGAATTGCTATTGTTACAGAAATTTCTTCTTAAGTACATTCAACTGAAGTTTTAAATGGGTGTTTTTCCAGTGATGCCTATACCAGTCGATATGAGAGAATCTTTTGTATATCTTTTTGAACTCAAAATAAAATTTATTTGGGTGCATAAATGGCCTAGAAATGCTAGTAGAAAAATGGTATTTAAAAAATGTTCATTAAAACTTTTGGCAATCATCCCCTTCCATTTCTCCTTAATCCTATGCCTAACCATGTGTTGAGTGATTTTAAACAATCTTATGTTGTTAGTTCTTTTTGTCACAAAGATGGAAAACTCTGGGAATGCCACCTCCTAGCCACAGCTATTGAGTAAGTCAGTTGGGTTCATTGCAGAGATGGTAACTTTTCTTACTCTCTAACAATGATGCAAGAGGATTTCTGCTTTTGTGTCCTTTCGAAATATTTGTAGTGGAAGCGACGTTTCCTTCTAATAGTTTACAGTGAGGTCAATCAAAGTCAATAAGAAGGGAAATCTATACATTGTTGAAATACTGCCATGAACAGAAGTGTGGACAAAAGACTCTTGATTTGACCTATTCAAATTACTCGGATAACAGTGACAGATAAATCACCACTGGGATTATTCCAACCTGAGGAGGCTATGGTCTTTCCTTTTCCTATAGACTGATATGTACAGCCAGGAAATAGAAAAATTGCTCCCTTTATAACAGCACTCAAGAAAATTCTTGTGTGCTGAATCGGTACCCTTGTTAACATGTGAACTTTCTGACAATAAGCAAAGTTGCACTTTTGCTCAGCTACACCTGCATCCTGCAGGTTGATCCCTCATTGTTACTCCTCAATTTGGGCCTTTGCTACTAGGCATGAAATCATAAATGCTAACCAAACTAAGGTGTTGATGCTGCTCCACTGTTTTCCACCATCTTTTTTCTAGCTGCCGTTTCAATGCACAACATAAAATCCAACTGTGCTACCAGTTGCAGAAGTAACAAAAGATCATTCTGTAGAAGATATTCAATTAAGTATGACACCCATCAGTAAACTACATACATTGTATTTACTGACTGTCTTTTGCTCTATGCAAATCCATAAATGTTTAGAAATAGTTATATCTCTGAAAAAGGGACACACATTGATACTGGTTGTACAGTGAGTATGCTAAACCTAATACTTCTATAAAATTCATTGTCTGTCTCTTTAATATTACACTTGACACAAGACATCTTTTTTTTCTTTTACTATTATTTCATATATACATCTGGAGGTAGCTTGACATAGAAAAAAACTATCTGAACTTGAAATTGTGAAACTATAGATTTTGTGTGTCTCATGATACAAAATGCTGTTCTTCCTGAAATGTTTGGTGTCTTTGTTTACAGAAATTCGGGCTGGGGTGGGGGACTTGTTGAAGTTTGTATACATATATATGTCTTTATCTTTTGCTACTATACATTGAACAGAAAATAAGGGTAACAAGAAGAAGACGTACCTAGCAGTGTCAAGACACAAGCCAATATTGCTATCAGGGCTCCAGTGCTAAGTCCTGCAGGCAAGATATATGCTTCTGCATTGCATGTCTGAGCAATACCATCTGCATCACAATCACAGACTCTGATGGTGAGGGTATTGGTGCTACTAAGCGAAGGTGATCCACTGTCCACGATGAATATTGGCAAGTAGAAAACAGACTGTTCCTGTCGTCGGAATCCATTTCTTCTGGTTAATACCGTTGCAGTGTTATCTGAATAAAGGAATAAAAACATAAATGTAAAATACATGACCTTTTTGAAAACACAAGCCTATAAACAATACAGTCCTTTACTTAGGAGACTTTAAAAACACATTTATATTATCTGTATTATTCCTGGTCACATATTTTTGAAGCTGCAGAGATAGAATCAGTTGAGAAATGATACCAAACTAAACAAAAAGATTTATATTTTCCACAAAAGACCATTTCAAAATTGCAGAGGTCTATTTGGTTTTAGTTAAGCTCACAGTTCCACACTCCTGATAGACAGTTGAAGATGAAATCGCTATAAAAAAGAAAAAAATTACCCTTTAGTGATCAGATTAAGTATCTATATGCCTGTTTCAGGTCTAATTTCCAAGGATCTATTTCCATTATTTACAGATACAGATATCATATTAATGGAAGGGATGAACATATTAATAGGAGAATAAGTTCTGACAATCAATGTAATCTGGTTTTAATGCAAAAAAAAATCCAGTTGGTGCACAAATACAGGTAGTTGCACATGTGAAAAAGACATGCACCTGTTTTCAGTCTCATCTGAGAGTCAAGGTGACTAATATCACTCTAAAATGTGTGGCTCAATGCTGCTCTGAGTTGGGTGATTAAAAGGTCCATGTGTTCCAGAAAATATGTGCAAAACTCACTGTGTTCAATACAGGTTGACAGCTCCTGAGAGGTAGGGAGTTACATCTCCTAGAATGCATAGAAAAGGTCGGTCGGTCGGTCAGTCTATCTATCTATCTACTTATCTATCTATTTATAGACAGATAGATGGATAGTTCTCTGAAGTTATCCTATTGTGTCATCTATTATGACCTATCTGGCAAAATACACAAGCACTTCTCCGTATAGCATCATATGAGATATGCATAAAATTCATTAACATCGAGAGGCAACTGCTGTTGTGTCTTGTCCACTGATTTTACTGGCATTGCTAGTCTATTATTATTTTTTCCCAATTATAAGTTGTCTGGAAGAGGGCCTGTCTTTTCATTAAACACTTTACAGTACTTGTAAAAATGTCAGATTTCTGAAGAGAGTTTTATTCTAACACATTTTTATTATTTTGATCATTATTACTATTACAGTCTTTAGTTTCAAACGGCAAGCTGCTTATATGAAGAAAATTAAGCATGTCAGTAACTACATGCAGGGTAAGGCAATAAATAGCTGCGTGAGAGAACTTTATTAGGTCACATGTTGTACTCAGTGAATGTTGTTCAAAGTCTGGCTGTACAAACAGTATCCTTTAGTCCACCATATGTCTGTTTTTTCTTGTTTTATTAATAAGGATGACTTTGTAGCTGTGGTTTAGTACTGATGCATAAAAGAGCAATGCAAGGGTAACATAGCTTGTATTTAGTTCTATTTGCCTCAGCTAATAGCTAAACTGACTGTTACATGCCCAGCTGCCCTACTATGCAGTTCAACTAATGAGTACACTAATTAGAAGTGTGTTCTCAGATATTTTAACTAACAGAAACGTGATGTCAATGGGTGTCTTTGCATAAGTCTTTGGGAAAACGGTCATAAGAAGTCTGTATAAATATTGTAGGCAGCTTCCATTATCAAAAGCATTCTTGAATATGCAGTATACTTACTGAAAAGACACGTTTTTTCTAAAAAAAAAAAAAAACAAAAAACCTCAACAAAACAAATCAAAAACCAAACCAAAAACCAAAACCAAAAAAACTCTTGATTTACCATGCACTCATTTTTTATGCCCTGAGTTATATTAACAAAACATGAATTCCTGGACATTTTTCAGTCACTGCCCCAAGGTAAAATCTAATTTAGATATAAACCTATAAATACAAGGAAAGAAATGTGAGAAGAGTGAGTGCTGGGAAAAAAAAAAAAAAAAAAAGAGAGAGATTTGAAGATGCTCAGTTTGTCTCAAGGCTTTAAATGATTCAAACAACAGCTTAATTCCCTTGACAAATGATCTACCAATAAAATTATTTTGCAGTCTGATTGTAGTTTAATTTATGTCCTTACCGGAATAGAAGTTCATGTAGTTCATAATCAGCATGGTATATTCAAAAGGAAAGATGTTAGTGGTGAATATTTACCCAACAAAGTGTCCTTACCTTTGTTGTCCTGCAGTGTAAAATTGTGGTTATTTGCTGCCTCTGCTGTTAAACTGAAGTAAAACTGATGGCCATTTGGTGGGTCATCTTTATCAATTGCACTGATTTTCTGGATCACCTGTTTTGACATACATCGGGGTTTCATTGTTTGGAATGGTAAGAAGCATAAATGTATGTACATTGTATAACCCCTCTATTACTTGTCAAAATATCAACCCTCCTTTAAGTCCTGCTCATATTACATTTTGGTTTTCTGATCTCCTAAGCATGTACAGGTAATATAAAAACTAAACTGTGACTTGAGTCTGCTTTCCCTGTACCAACTTTATTGGCCAAAAGCAATGATCTGCAAGGCCTGTGAAAAAGTTAGGTCCTGCCATTCACCAGCACTTGGAGTATAAACTGCATAGCAGTGGAAGAAGTCTGTCTTCTGGATGGCCCTTAATGCAGTTATCAGAGGCTTCAATCAGTGTTGTAAACTTTCGCAAGGAAATGATTATGCTTTGAAGCATTTTAATTCATGTACATTTTTAAAAATATAATGAAAAATAAAAGCCACGTCATAAGTATATTAATATTTTCTGGGATTTCTTTTTATTATTATCATCAATATTTTTCCAATTTCATTTTCTAAAATTCTGTCAAAATCTGCCTCTAAAAAAAGTGTCACCATTGCCTAAAATCCATAAAGAATGAATACTCAGAGCTAACAGTTCTGACTAGATCACAGAGAAAACAAACAGGTACTCTAATAAGGGCATGCATATACTGTGTTTCTCATGAACACAATTTAATAATCATAGCGTTTTCTGTTTAGCATTTAAATTAAGCTGTGATTTTGAAATGTGTAATAAACAACATCTGCTGCAAGAAGGACAATATTCTAGGAGAAGGCACAAAAGTGCAAAGTCTCCCAGGGAATATGTAGGTTCCATGTGAGTGAAACATCCACTTGTTTTCTGGGAGAGAGAAGAGTGAATGAGAAAATATTTTTTCTGAGGTCTTACAAAGTAGAGGAAAAGTGCAAATATGAGAGACACCAAGGATAAAAACCACCAGCTACTTTTAGTTGAGTGTAGGACTACTTGGAAGACATTTGGGGAGGTAAAAAGACCAAGGAATATGGTAGGAATACATTTCCCTTGTGAAATTGTGGCCTTAGGACCTGTACTTCCTAAGGGAAACAAGTGTGTACTCGTTTCAGGAATGGTAGGCCTTTAGTCTCAGAATAAGCCTCATGTTACAACTTCTCACTTCCTAGCAAAATTAGGGAAGTATGCATTCTTAATATTATTCAAAATTAGATGAGCTTAGCAAAATATGACAGTTATATCGTTAAGAAAGCCAGAGATTTTAACAGTACCTTCAACAAGTAATTTTTAGACCTGAGTCTTTCTCTTCGCAGGTATGGTGAAGATGATAGGGTTTGATTAATATTTGCTTGTGCTACACATCAAAGCATCATTTGTACTGGCATAAGCTGATTATATTTTATCTTAAAGCTGGCAGGCTTTCATAAGGAATGGCTGCCTATCTGTTAAAAATGAACATAAAAAAACTATCAATCCATACCTGACCAGGTTGAGCATTTTCACAGACCGTTGTCTCATACTCCATGGCAAACTCAGGAGCATTGTCATTGATGTCAAGGATTGTAATGGCTACATAACCTCTCCCAATCTGTGCTGGATTCTCTATAGGAAAGAAGCCAACAAAACAATCAAGAAGAGTTCCTTGCAAGTTATTGTTTGGGTTGCTACATTTTTCCTTTCCATTCTTCCTTGGCATATACATGTCAAATCAATTACAATCCCTCCTAGAAAGACAAATTAAGATCTTGGCTTGATGTTCTGGACTTAGTGGTAACAGTGTTTATGTTTTCAGACGGTTCAATTAAACTAAGAATTTACTCTCAGGGATAAACTGAAAATTTAACTCACTAATCACAACATCAAAACACATCATATGGGAGGAAAAGAGCAAGATGATGTAAAACCATCACCAAGGGGTAGCTAACCAGAACAACACTATTCATATTGGGAATGGCTTAAATGGGTTAAATAAATTTTTGTTGCAATTCAGATTGATCAGGCTATTAAGAAATTTAAGACAGAATTCCATCAGCTATGACAGAAAAATGAAAGCTGTATTCCCATGCAAATCCCACAGTATTTAAGGTGCACACACAACAGAGTATTTCAATACTGTCATTAACATCTTGAACACCTTAAGTATGAAACACATTCTTAATCTGATTCACATATATTAGCTAAAACATGAATCTGGTCATGGTCCTGGTTGTTATCATTTAGTCTTAAACAGGGTTTTTTTTAGACTAAACATAAAGGACATCAGTGTGTACTATACTTATTTTGCTAGATAACACTTCTGTTTTGGAGGAGGAAAAGAGAGATTGCATTAGCTTTTTACCACGAGTGGTGATATTACTGATAAAGCAGGGCAGAATGAAAAACTCTACAAACCTTCAAATACATATCTATCTTTTTATAGGGTATTGCAACCACATTTTTGCAAGTACTATAAGTATTTAAAGTAATGCATCCAAATGTAGATCAAAAAGTGTTTTGTTTTGGTTTGTTTTTTATTCCACATGTGAAATACCAGAGGAGTAAGCAATTTGACACTAAATTTTGTGACACTTTTTCCTCTAATGATCTAAGCTTATTGAAAACCAAGCAGTCCATGAACATAAATTAAAGCATCATGAGGTATTACTTGTGCTCCTAGACTCTCACTTGTGTCAGGTACGCCCCTTGTCTATCTTGTCAATTTTGTTACTATCCAGGAAAAATTTTTGTTTCCATGCTGGCCTCCTAGACCAAAATTCTGCTCCTGAGAATACAAGATAAATTCATACAGACAGTAAATGATAAATGTTAGCTTTCAGGTTAAACATTAAATTAACCTTACTGAAAACAAGAATTGAGGATTTTTAAAATAACAGGCCAGAGAACTGATAACTCTTTTATTATCACAGCCCAACAGAGTAGCAATAAGGGTGAAATTTGAAGAAATAAATTCCTCAAATATAAAAGCAAAAATATGTAGTTTTTCACAGAATGTATTCAGAGCTGAGCAAGTTCAGGTTTGAACTTGTATTAACAGAATTCTTGTTGTATGCGCTTGAAGGGTTTGATTCTTCAACACTTTTCATCTTACACCAGAAATAATATCAAGCACAAAATATCCTCTGCAATCTAATCTTAGAGTCAAGAAAGTGAAACCACACAAACATTCATGTTCCCTCTCCTACATACCTTTTAAGAATGCTATGGTTGATCAGCAGCAATCAACTCTAAGTGAGTGCCATCACTAAGATGGACTAACTGCTTTCCTCTATAAGCCATATCACTTATCCTTTAATGATGCTTCGTCTGAGACTGCTGACTTAACATATTTCATCTTCCTTTGTACTTGTTTTTCAGAAGTCAAAAGAATACACAAGGTGTGAGGCAAAGGAAACAGCAAATACTTAATCTGTTGTACTTCTTAATTTTTATCATACAGGTTTCTTTTACATTGAGTAAGAAGTTATTTTTATCTGCCATGGCCTGAAACTGTCACAATTTCTCTCAAGGTAGCTGATCACAACCAAGCCTGAGGTTTTAAACATAAACAGTCAATAAAATCTTTAAATTGTTACTTACGACTCTCCATAGCCAAAACTGTGATATTATGAACAGCATTAGTTTCCCTGTCCAAAGATTTGGCAGTTGTAATGACTCCACTATTAGCATCAATATTGAAATACCTCTCCAGGTCAGTGTTTCGATCTATTGAGTACCTAAGTAAAGGATGAAAGAAAACTTTTGATTTATGTTCAATTACAGCTTTTAAAAATGTTTCATTGATTTCTTATTAGAAAGAAAGAGTTTCCACTGTTTCCCCACTTTAAGCTTTGTTTTGTCCAGTTTCTTTGGGGTGTTGAGAGAAGCAGAGCTGTATGCAAAGGCAAGAGTTACTCAGCGACCTGTGCTGACAGTGGTGGGCTGAATTCCCACAGTGTCCTCTTAAGAGAGGTTATAGGAATTCCCCTCTCTTTTCTTTTTCCTCTCTGCTGTAAGGCAAGCTTTCATTTAGTCATGAAATAGCATCCTCCTGAACCCCAGCTAAGGAGAAGATGAGTTGGAAGTTTGCTATGTGTCTGTGCCAGGCGGGCGCTGCTCCCATGGGGGTTGGCAGTCTGAGCACAGAGCTTTCTATCACCAGCAGAAGAACCCCTGAGTTACCCAGAGCTGCAGGGGCACGGATAAAAAGAGACATGATGCAGAGTAGGTCAAGGGATTGCATGTCATCACTGTCAGTTCCTGGTGCTTTACTGTCATGAGACAAACAGAGGTTCATGTCCTTAACTCTTTGGCTTAACATATTTTTTACCTCCAAATTTGTTTCAGGAAGGGGAAATGAGCTCCTTAGCAAACAGAAAATAGAATAAAGGAAAAGATCAAAATGCTTGTAGGGGTTTTGCTTGTAACACTTTTAAGAGATAGGGACAGTTGATTAAGCAGATTTAGATTTACAACTGGAATATTATTGACATTCAATTTAATATTGGGTTAGACTCTTGCACTCTCATTTAGATCAAGT